CGCCCTCCTCGCCGCCCAGCCAGCCCGGCCTTGGGGGAACATGGCGCTCGTCCCCTGTCAGGTGCTGCGGGTGGCCATCCTGCTGTCCTACTGCTCTATCCTGTGCAACTACAAGGCCATCGAAATGCCCTCGCACCAGACCTACGGAGGGAGCTGGAAATTCCTGACGTTCATTGATCTGGTAAGCCCATCCTCATCCCTCCCCTGTCCTCCCTGCACCCCAGCCTGTGTGTTTTTGTGGGTGCAGGAGCACCTGCGCGCGTGCGCGCCTCCAGCAGCTACCCGCTGCCTCGCCTCTTGCGTGGTTGCGTCTAAAGGCCTGGCTGCCACCGTGGCAGCATCTTCTGAACCACGCAGTGGTACCTGGTGGCGGGGGCATGCGTGTAGTGGGGCGCAGCTGGTGGTGGGTTGCGTGGAGGGGAACACAGCTCTGCTTCTGAGACGGTGACAAGGGAAGATTCCCAACTAAGCGAACCAATTAATCGGACACCTTTGATCAAGAATGACCTCTGACCCGTTCACCTTCATCGACAAGGTGCTTTCCAGAACATCCACCGTGGGATCAAGCCGCAAAAGAAGGGAGCTGGGTATTGTCAAATTAGTTGATACTGCCTCAGAAAGGACGAAAATCTCCCTGATAAAGAGATAGCACCTAATAAAGTCTTCTTTGCGTCTGTTTCTGCCCATTGTCAATAATTTACTTCCAACCTTTCCCCCCAGAAATCACAGGGGAAAGAGAATTTCGAAATGCATCTCATATGACTTTATATTCTTTTCTACCCCGTGAAGGTTTTCAGTCATTGCATAAGCAACTTCTCAGTTGGCCTTGGACCTTGGCAATTGAAATTGGCTTTGGTTACCTCTTTAAAAATACTTGTCCACTTCTGGTAGTAAAGGGGCCAGAGAATCAGAACCTCAGCTGAGGGCCATGATGATATATAGGGCAGAAGTTAGGAACTTCAGGGTGAAAGTAATTCATTCAGGGTCAAACTCACTGAATGATCATGAAGTAGAAACAGAAAGTTACGCAAAATCATCCAGGTCTGGGGACTATGTAGAACCACTCCCAAGGGTGCTGAACTATCCTAGACCATACACCAGCGATGCTGCACAAAGATTAGAATGTCTAATTGTTGGCCTTGCATTTTGGTCAAGGGAACTTGATGCCTGGTTTAAGAAAGACACTCACAGGGGTTTGCTTAGAAATACCATCTTGTATGCTTAGATGCTTCCAGAGAAGAATTTAATTCCTTTCCTGCACACAGACCCTGGGCTACATAGGATTTCCCAGGATATAGACTGTTTCAAGGGTTTCAATTTTTAGACGCTCATCTTCCATCTCTCTCTCTCTTTGTTTTTTTCTTTTGAAAGTGATCTACCACTGATGGTGGGTGATGCCGGCCACGTTTGCTTTCTTCCTATTCATGCGCAAAGAGCACATGTCAAGGCCCTGTGCTGTATTTATGTGTTCCTTGGAGCAGTCAGGCCATAGTTGTCACCAGCATGACCTTCGTATATGACTGAACAGTGAAGTCGGTTGTTTCCACAGAAAGCCTGCTTGGGTTGATTGGCTTGTCAATGAGAATTGGGTCTGCCAATAATGTTAAGGGTGGACATTTTCCATAAATTGAGCTAAGTCTGCAGCCCTAAGTTTCTCCTGATAAATATGAATCAGCATGTTTTAAAATGTCTCATTTTCAAGGGTTAAACTTAGATGAAAAGTTTTTAGATGTTTTTGAAAAACCTGTGAGTAGATTTTAATTTTTTTAAAAGATTTTATTTATTCATACAGAACTGGGGTACAGGCCAGAGATGCAGAGGGTGAGAGGATTCACCAGA